ATGGATGTGTCCACATTTCTATAATATCTGACTGCAGCCTGACTAGCTAGCAGATACAAACTGAGGGAATAATTGTGGGGGAGGGGTGCCTTTTCTTTCACTAGGGATAGGATCAAGCCCTGGAATAACTACTGTATATGTAAAAACACAGAGGAGTCCTTGTGGCACCTTAGAGACTAACAAATGTATTTGTGCACAAGCTTTTGTGGGCTAAAGCCCACTTCATCAGATGCATGGACTGAAAAATACAGTAAGCAGAATATAATGTTTTCACCCCTCAGCTCATATTATTATAGCACATGAAAAGATGGGAGTTGCCTTACCAAGTGAGGGGTCAGTGCTAACAAGCCAATTCAATTAAGGTGGAAGTGGCCTATTCTCAACAGTTGACAAGAAGGGGTGAATACCAAGGGAGGCAAAATTACTTTTGTAGTGCTAATGAGGCCAATGCAATCAAGGTGGACGTCACCCATTTCCAACAGTTGACAAGAAGGTGTGAGTATCAGCAGAGGAAAAATTACTTTTTATAGTGACCCATCCACTCCCAGGGTTTATTTAGGCCTAATTTGATGGTGTCCAGTTTGCAAATTAATTCCAGTTCTGCAGTTTCTCGTTGGAGTCTGGTTTTGAAGTTTTTTTTATACTACTGTGTAGAGGGGTCCGGCCGGGCCTCGTCCCTCGCTACTTCTTTTAGGTTGGGTCGGGGAACTAGCCTGGCCATGGGGGGTCTTGCGCCGCAGCAGCAGTAGAGGCAAAAAAACATTTACTCACACCTGGTTGGCGGGCAGTAGCAGGTCCCGGGCTCCGGTCCTCAGACAGGAGCTGAGCAACTGCTATATATCGAGCAGGCCCCAGCCCTGAGTCAGGGAGGGCAACAAAGAGTCAGCGGCTCAGGCCCTCAGGCAGGGGCTGAGCAAACAGGTAAATAGTAGGCCCTGGTGGCCTGGGAGAGTGGGAGACCGCGTCCCAGCCCAGGACCCTAGCAGTGGTGGAAGGCCGGCTGCTGTGTCAGTGGGGATCCTGACCGCAACACACTGACATAGGCTCTGCCAGTGCTGCAGCCAGACTAGGGTCGGCTGCCCCCGGGCTACTTCCTAACACCCCCTCTAGAGGTACCTGGGTCTGGACCGTGTCCTCCAAGGGGTCAAGCACCATGGGCTCCTCAGGGTAACTGGTGAGCGGTAGGCTTGGCAGCTCCTCCAGGCTCTGGTCGGCATCAGGCATCAGCTGGTCTGGCCAGTCCTTGGGTCGGCCACTGATTGCCGGGGTCTCCCAACTGGGAGCTAGGCCACAGGTGTCTGGCCTCTCTAGCGGTTGTGTCTCTAGTGAGCTCTAGGGTTGGGCTTTTATACTTCCTGTCCTGTGCCTTGACCTCTGGAGGGTGGGCGCAGGGTTCACTGGCTCTGCCCACTTTGGTGTCTCGGAGGTAAATTTATCATTAGTGGCATATTAAGGAATGAGCCATTGTATCATCCAGTCCAGTGACCCAAAGGGGGCCTTAAGATATTTGGTCTAATAAAATATTCCTCTATCTCCATTTGTGAATCAGTGGGAATGCCTGGTGTTCAGTCCAGGATCAGACCCCGTGCACTCTCTCTCTCTCTCTTTCAGATCCCCTTGCCAATTCCTTTCAACAAAACTAAGTAACTGACATATGTTATGTGTTCAGGGTAGGACTTAGGCTGATTGTGGGTCTGATTGATAAGAAACATAGAGCCTTAATATCACTCTTATTAAGGAGTGATGTAGGAAATTAAGGTCCATAAATGAAGAGAGAGAGGTTCTGCTGGAAAAATATTTTTGGGAAGAACATAATAATGACCTTACTGAGTCAAACCAATGGTCCATCTAGCCCAGTATCCTGTCTTCTGATGGTAGGCAGTGCTCACTGATTCAGAAGGAATGAACAGAACAGGACAATTTCAAGTGATCCATCCCATCATCCAGTCCCAGCTTCTGGCATTTAGAGGTTTAGGGACACCCAGAACACGGGGTTACATCCCTGACTTTCTTGGCTAATAGCCATCAATGGGCCTATCCTCCATGAACTTATTTAATTCTTTTTTGGACCCAGTTATTCTTCTGGCCTTCACAACATCCCCTAGAAATGAGTTCCACAGGTTGACTGTGTGTTGTGAAGAAGTACTTCCTTTTGTTTGTTTTATACCTGCTGCCTATTAATTTCATTGGTTGACCCTAATTCTTGTGTTATGTGAAGTGGTAAACAATACTTCCTTATTCACTTTCTCCACACCAATCATGACTTTATAGACCTCTATCAGATCCCCCACCTCCTTAGTCATCTCTTTTCTAAGCTGAACAGTCCCAGTCTTTTTAATCTCCCCAAGTTTGGAAGAGTTTCCATACCTTTATTCCTTTTTGTTGCCCTTCGGTGTACTTTTTCTAATTCAAATACATCTAACAGCTAATTTAGACCACCATTTTGTATGTATAATTGGAATTATTTTTTCCAGTGCATTTTACTTTGCATTTATCAACACTGAATTTCAACTGCCATTTTGTCACCCAGTCACCCAGGTTAGTGAGAGCCCTTTATAACTCTTCACAATCAGCTTTGGACTTAAGTAGCTGGAATAATTTTATGTCATCGGCAAATTTTGCCATCTCACTGTTCAGATCCTTATCTAGATCATTTATGATCATACTCAACAGTCAGGTCCCAGTACAGATTCTTGGGAGACCCCATTATTTACCTCTCTCCGTTGTGAAAACTGACCATTTATTCCCGCCCTTTGTTTCCTGTCTTTTAACTAGTTATTGAGCCATGAGAGGATCTTCCCTCTTAACCCAAGTCTGCCTAGTTTGCTTAAGAGCCTTTGGTGAGGGACATTATCAAAGGCTTTCTGAAAGACCAAGTACACAATATCGACTGGATCACTTTTAATCACAGGAGATCCTCAAAGAATACTAAAAGATTGGTATGGAATGAATTCCCTTTACAAAAGCTTTGTTGACTCTTCCCCAATATATTGTGTTTATGTGTTTGATAATTTTGTTCATTACTATAGTTTGAACCAATTTGGCTGGTATTGAAGTTAGGCTTATTTCACTGTAATTGCAAGGATCACCTCTGAAGCCTTTTTTTAAAAATCTGCATTACATTAGCTACCTTCCAGTCATCTGGTACAGAGGCTGATTTAAGCCATAGATTACATATCATAGTTAGTAGTTATGCAGTTTTATATTTGAGTTCCTTCAGAACTCTTGGTGAATGTCGTCTGGTCCTGTTAACTTATTACTGTTTAATTTATCCATTTGTTTGAAAACCTCTTCTATGGACACCTCAATCTGGGACAGTTCCTCAGATTTGTCACCTAAAATGAATAGCTCAGATGTGGGTATCTCCCCCACATCCTCTTCAGTGAAGGCAGATGCACAGAATTCATTTAGCTTCTTTGCCACAGTCTTGTCTTCCTTGAATGCTCCTTTACCATCACAATTGTCCAGTGACCCCACTGATGGTTTGGCAACCTTCCTGCTTTTGATGTACTTAAAAAAAATTGCTGTTATTTTTTTATGTCGTTAGCTAGTTGCTCTTCAATTACATTTTTACACTTGACTTGCCAGAGTTTATGCTCCTTTCTATTTTCCTCAATTGGATTTGACTTCCAATTTTTTAAGGATGTCTTTTTGCCTCTAACTGCCTCGTTTACTCTGCTCTTTAGCTATGGTGGTATTTTTGTTGGTCCTCTTAATTTTTTTTTATTATTATTTGGGATATTCATATTATTTGAGCCTCTAGTATGGTGTTTTTAAATAGTCTCCATGCAATTAGCAAGCATTTCATCCTTGTGATTGTTCCTTTTAATTTCTATTTAACTAACTTCCTCAATTTTGTGTCCTTTGGGGGCATTGAGGCCTGGATTGGATAGTACATTGACTCATGCCTTGCTATGTCAATTAAGAAGCATATTTTCTTCTCCTTGATATCTCCTTGCCTAATGACTTGCCTTCTGCTGATATTTCTGTGGCTTTTCTCCCTTCATGTTGATATTTGTTTAGCAAGGGAAGATCTTTTGAGAAATCCTGACTCTAATGAAGTTAATGGCAAAACTCCTATTGGGGTCCCAATGGGATCAGAAGTTCACCTTTGGGTGTTCGATAGGAAAAAAAACAATGATGTCCAGGATAATGAGGTAAGAGAGCCTCAGAACCATGTGTGGAGAGATCTCCTAGAAAACAGAATGACTTGTATGTGAATGCCAGAGAAGAGGGTATCATCACAACCAGACACTGTTCCAAACTGGGTGATTATAAATGAGAATAGCTATAAAAATAGTTTAATGTGTAGCATGCTACAAAACCTCAGCAAATATGTTTACTTTTCCTCAAAAACTTAAAGGATTAGTTAGGATAGGAGTTTCAGCTTAAAGGGAACACATTAGAGGGGGCATGCTGCTCTTCAGATTTTTATTTTCCTGTTGAATATAAGAATAATCTTAGGAAGCCCTGTGTGGTTATATTATGTAAGTGGTGGCAAACAATAAGTGGTTGATAATTTCTGTATTATTTAACTATCAACAGTCAACAGAAGTTGAATGTCACTCAGTACCTGACAGGAGTTCTTTTGCATTGTGTTTTCCTTTCACTCAGTTGAAATCACTTAGACCAGCCAGAGCTTTTGAAAATCTATAAAACTCTTGTAGCTATTGTTTACATTGTGACAAATTCTGCCTTGGTTTATCAGCTTGCACTGATTTCAGTGGGAGCTGTGTGTGTATCAACAATGATAGAATTTGACCCAGGAGGTGACATGATTAAAGTCTCATATTTACTTTAACACCAGAAATTTGTTAACTGCTGCATTGGGCCCTCAATTTTGGTGAACCAAAATGCACTATATGGTATGTAAAACTGCCCCTTGAGAAAAAATGATGTATTTGAAGTAACGCCCCCCCTCCCCACACACACTCTATATGGAGAGAGAAAAACAGCCCATGGATCAGCAGAAGGGTTAACATGAAATGCTCTCGGGCAGGAAAGCAGTGGAAGTATTTGCATAGAATAGCATCTGGAGCCTATGTGTACGCGAATACTTCCAGAGGGAAAGCAGTTTTCCACATTCATTACAGCCTAGTAAGGAAGAGGAGAAAAGGAACAAGGGAGGATAGAAAAGGAACAGGGGACTCCTTTTGTATCTGTGCCCAATATGGTTTCTTTTGATTTTTCATTCTCCATAGTCAAGGGCTCCCCATGGGTTCTCATCTATTACCCAGGCATTGCCATACCTGCCTCCCTGTGTGAAAGTGGCTCAGCTGCCGGCTCTGGATGAGGCTAACAGATCACATCTATCTCCCTGGCATCCACTGAGCGCACAGGGCTCCAAGGATCAAGCCCCGGACAAGAACACAAAAGCAGGTCTGTATAGAAGCAGCCAACCTTCTATATTGTCCATTGCTCATTTTGCGGACACTGGAGGTCAAAACTATCCAGCAGTCCTGCTTTCACTGTGAGTGTGTGTGTGTGTGTGTGTGCGTGTGCGTGTGTGAGAGAGAGAGAGAGAGAGAGAGAGAGAGAGATTACAAGTACAATATTGTTTTACTCTATTATTTTGTTAATTATTAAAATAATGACAGTTCAAAAGCACTGTGCAAAAATGCAGAATGTATATACCCCTGTTAAATCTAAAATACAGCTACTGTGAACAAAAAAAAGCTGAAATAATGTGCATTCACATATAAATAGATTACAGCTGCCTGTTCTGACCTTGCATGTATAAAGGGGAGAGGGAAGTTAATAATAAATAAGTAAATAGAAATGCCTGCTTACAGAGGGTAGGTCTGTTGTGCAGTGGTAGGAACAGGAAAAAGTAGTGTGGGGCAACAAGAAAAAAGCCCATTGAAATAACGGAAACAAGCTCGTTAATGACAAGGGAAAGGGAGTGCATTTTTGAAAAAATGGTTTGAGCCAGGGAGTGTGTGTATGGGGGGGTAATTTACATAAACAAAAAAGTTTAAAAAATCATGATCAGCTAGAAGCAAACATTCTTAGCATATGTTATTAGATTAAAATGATCATTCAGTTTTTTAGATTCCTCGCAGCATATTTTCCTTTTTGGAACGTGCTCAGTAAAATTATGACTTTTCTGTGAATAGTCAAGATCATCAATAATTAAGAAGTAAATCATTTGCACTTGATCCAAGAATGTCACACATTCTACAAATATGAACTAATTATCTGATGGTGTGAAATCGTCCTGTTAAAAATAGAGAACACCCTGGCCTTTTGGGTTTGAACTGATTCCTGTTAGCTGTTCATGGACACCAGGAATTTTCAGTTTTGTGGTTTGTTCCTGGATTCTCTCTGTGTGACTTTTGATTTTTCTTTCTTTCTTTCTTTCTTTGGCTGATTTCAGAGGCTTCCTTTTGTGCAGCTGAATGATTCTTTAAAATAATTTGTTATATTGACTATCAAAAATGTATTAGCCTAGTCATGGGAGAGGTCAGTTTTGATTTCTATGCCTGTTATGCTTTTTAATATTGTGACCTCTGATAACACCATATTTACTTCAGTGCTTACTGGCCTTTTCTTTCTTTCTTTCTTTCTTCATTTGTCTTCACTTTTCTGTTTCCTTTTTTGCTTACTCTCTTTCACCCCATCTTTTCTTGCTCTCTGCAACCCCTCCTTTTCCTTCTCTTCCCACTCACTCTATAGAGCTTTTCAGTCTCTGAAAATGGACCACTGAAGAAAGATTTGCTGTCCCATTCGTTCCGCACTGCCCCCATAAAAAGCAAATATTTTCAGGTTGACTGAAAGTTTAACTTTGTTATTTTTTTTATTTTTAAAGAAAATCCAGCGTGACATGGCACGCGTTGGTGCCCTTGCCACTTAACAAATTACTTGTTTTTTTGACCTAAGTTAAATGCTGTGCAAATTTCCCTTGTCCACGTTTTCATTGTGTGCAGACTTCCCTGATAAAGAATAAAGAGCTAACTTGTTGGGACTTTGTAAGCCAAACTTCAGTAGTTTACGACAGATTTTTTTTATCCCATATCTTTCAAGACAAAGGGCCAGATCCTCAGCTAATGAAAACTGGCATAGCTGCATTGACTTTAGAGGAGTTGTGCCAATTTACACCAGCTGCGGATCCGGGCCAATGTGTTCAAGAACTGCTGTAGGTATAGTAACTCCTATGGCTGAGATATTAATATTGTGATTTCAGAACCGAAAGTGCCCATTAATTCCTCTCCATTAGGTAAGATGTCATTTAGCAACTATATCGTGTGTTCTGACACACTACCAAAATCCAGAGGATGTACACATCTACCCTTGAAAATCTCACATCTTTTTACGTTTCCAAGGATAACATCTGCCCCTTCATTTATCCAATATTTCTACAGACAAAATCACTTTCCTGCAACCAGCTCAGGGTTGAATCTAATGAAGCTGTCCCTACAGATTGACACGAGGATCATGTTGTAATTCCTTCTCTTTCATCATTGTGGATGCAACTTCTACAGAGGGTCTGTTAAAATACCAGCCACACACCCCTGCATGGGAGATTATTGTTCAGTCTTTCTTTTTAAGGACATAAACTCTATTGAAGACCTGGAGAAGCATAGAACTCCCTTCATTTTTGTAACTCTTACCTTACAAAACAATAACTTCCTTTAATTTATATACTTATGCCATTCGTCCACTAGGTCCTAAATATTGAACTGGTCATGCATGGGATTGCCCCTTTCAGTGGACCCCTTTTTATTTCTCTAACGTGCCATTTAATTTTCAAAGAGAGAAATATTGTATAGTTATAAATCTCTCCTCTTTCTTTACCAGGCCCATCGTCCATCTCATTTTATATGAAGTTCTACCTCTCAGAAGTGATTTAGAGTTGGGGAGGGTCAGCCTGCCACACATTTCCTGGCAGGTGGTCCAACATGGAAAGCTAAAGCCGAGCAGACCCAAGGTGAGTTAAAGTCTCTTTCTGTAACATAACTGTTGTGTTTCATTGTTTTCCTTTTCTAGGCTTCTATGACAGCCTTCCTGCATGACAGATTGCAGTGCTAACAAAGAACCCTTTGTGTCTTCACACCACTCTGTAAAACTCAGTTTACACCAAATCCCACCCCTCCAACAACCTTTTTCTGAAAGGAAGGTAAAAAATAAATACATGACATATAGAAAATGTATTTGTTCCTTGATGATGAAATGGCCTTCTTTAAGCAGGAATGCCTGTGACAATGAAAGGACTTTGTGTATCGACTACAGCTAGGATCATACCCTGAAAACATTACTGTGATCATTCACTAGAATTTAAAAATGATCTTGCTTTTGGCCTTGCTGTTCCACCCTTGTTTAATTCACTTCCCACAAACATATGAGTGGTCAGGTTTCAATTGCACAAGGTTGCAGAAAGTGAACTTTAAGCTCGCATGCTTGAGTAGTCACACCAGAAATGGCATATTTTATTTAAAATGGGACACTGCTTACTAACACAGAGGGTGGACAGGTCTTCTCAAAGCCCCTTTCCAGAGCTCTGGCACAGAGGCAATTAAATCAGCCACACGAGGTATTACTGTACCCTTCAGAATTCACAACGTTTTTTTGTGTGAATGTTATGGAAGAAATTACATTTAAACTTTATACCCAGTCAGCAAAGCAGAGGCCTTAACCCCACCCCAGCCCCAAAATCATGTCTTGGCCAAATTCTATCTGGCTGTATCGAGACTTACAATTTTCTAAATTTTCCTAATCTCCCCTTACATTTCTGCCTCCCCAGGAGAGATTCAAAGCTCCAGTCAACCTCTTATTCTGAGTTTAAGAGAGACATTCATTTATTCAGATAATGGAAATAATATTGTTTGACTTATGTGACCAATCACAACTAACCAAGAGTGATTGATTTTTAAATACTGAAAACTGAATACTTGCTGCCAATTGTCTGTGATCAAGCCCAGAGAGTAGGAAAAAAAGTAACTTAGTAAATTTGACTTATGGATAAATTCAAGGAAATCATGATCTAGTAATGTACATTTCTTGAAATCATTGAATGATTTATATTTGCTTTTATATGTTCATTCAGCTTTTGAACTGACTGACTAGGATGGCTGAATACTTCAGAGGTTTTTCTTCCGGGAATTAAGGTATCTAAACCCTCAAAAAATCACTAGGGAGAGAAGAGGAGGGGGAAATCTTATAAGCAGAACTAAACATCTGAGCTAATAATAAAGTCTGGAAGTTTTTTCCTCTTACATGTGGTGGTAACTGTTACTGCAGTATGGGCTGTTCTTTGTCCCATCCCATTCACTGACATCATCAGAAAAAAATCAGAGCTTTATGGCCCGCTGAGTTAATTTGAGCTCAGCTGAATTACACAAGAGCAAATTTTTCTGTGTTGACAAGACATTCACTGAAGCAAGTTTAATTAATGCAGATGGAAAAACCAATATAAGCACTTTTGCTGATAGTCCTTTCTGTACCTTTAGAGATAGTGAGCAGATTCAGAAGTGAGTCAGTGGAGTCTAAGGTGGAAAATATTTATACCTTCTCCTGGCCTCACATCTTGTAAATTACACTTATTAATTTCCTTGGGCTCTTCTAAAGTCACTAGGTTATATTCAGAAAGGATACAAAAGGTGCAATTATGGACACTAAGATGGTGTAATTTGCAATTTGAGGGAGCCAGAAAAAAGGTGCTATAAACCATAGCATATCATGAATATGGTCCAGCATGTCTAGGTCAGGGCAGAGACATACATTTGGGTCCGTATGAGAACTTTACACTGCTACTACTTATTCCAGAGATATCCATATAAGGCCAGGTGGAGAAACTGAACAGTTCTAGTAAGATTTGAGTTCATCAAAGCTTGGCACTAAGGCCCATCGGGTTCATGTAGGTGCTTGATGCACTTACAGAAAACATCCAGAGTGTGGTACCCTGGTGCATGCTTTTTGCAGATGATGTAGTGGTTGTGGGGGAGAACAAAGAGAAAGGAGAAGAAGATTTAGAGAGATGGAAATACATACTCGAAAGAAATGGCATGTAAATCAGCAGAAATAAAACAATGTATAAGGGCTATAGATTCAATGATACCTTACAGGAAGACAACAAGACTGTAAGTTGGGGGGGGGGGGGCGGCGAGGAGGGGGAGCCACTACCAAATGTACAGAAATTTGAGTACCTAGGTTCAATAGTAAAGGATAATCATGAACTCAGCGACGAACTTATAAGCAGAACAGCAAAAGTATGGACTAAATGGGGAGAAGTGAGCAGAGTGATCTGTGATAGGAAAATTCCTTATGAAATAGAAAAGTAAGATCTACAAGATGGTAATTAGGCCTGCACTTTTGTATGGCTCTGAATGTTGGGCACTAAGGAAGAGACTGGAGCAGATCTTGAATATAGTGGAAATGAAAATGTTAAGATGGACACTTGGGATAGTCCATGTTCAGAATGAATGAAATAGAGGAAAAGAGAAGGTGGTACCAATTATAGAAAAGCTGAGGGAATCCAGGCTTAGATGGTTTGGGTGAAAAGAAGATTGGAAGAATATATAGAAAAGAGGGTGTTCAACTTAGAAGCGGAGTGTTAGAGAAGGGTCAAAAGACCCAACGCTAGCTGGATAGTTATCATACAAAAAAGCTTTGATTAGCTGTGGTGTTTCAGAGGAACTGCTTCAAGACAGACTGGAATGGAAAAGAAGGACTGGAAGAGCTGACCCCATATAGATGAGACTAAGGCTAGAAGAAGAGATAGATAGATAGATAGATAGATAGATAGATAGATAGATAGATAGATAGATAGATAGATAGATAGATAGATAGATAGATAGATAGATAGATAGGACCAATCCTTTGCTATTCAAATTCAGTGGGAGATTTACTTTGATTTCAAATATATGAAGGGTCAGTATTGTCAAACTGTCGCTCTTCAAGGGTTGTTGTTGCAGGGATTCATTTTACACTCCTATTTTGTGCACTTTGTGCTCTCCGGTCTCTTTGGTCTTCTCTCTTCCTATCCCTCATTTCTGTGTTTCTTATAGGGAAAAAAAATGGTTAAAACAGAGATGGAATTGGTCTGAGTCACCCAATGTGACGATGCAACGTACATACCCAGAAGTAATCAGGTAACTAGGCTTATCACAGTCAGCACCACTGACGTGGTGCTGGGACAGGAGACGATAAAAGTGAGTCCAGAACAAAGACCTTGCTTTCCTGGTCTCTTGCACAATTAAAGAAGAAAAAGAGTGGCAGTTGGGCTGCATACACAGGAAAAATGGATAACTCACCTCCCAAAACATGGGCTGATATGCTGACCCCAAAGCAGCGTAGGAATTTTACAAAGAAACTTACATATGACAAACATACTTCAGTACCAGTGTGAGTCTGAATGGCTGGTTCAAGACAAGTGGCCCAAACCCAAATATACAGCAAGTCATTTGACTGCAAGGGTGTAAGCAAAAAGAAGAGTTCACATGTGGCTTCATGCTCCTGTTAAATCTGGTGGACAGTAATACATACATGAAATTATTTACTGCCTACAAAACACTTGACAATGGCTAGGCAGCTGGTATACTGTGACTGCTGCTTGTTATGCTAATCATAATAGTCTCAATGCTACTTGTGCTGCTCCCCCATTTGTTTATTGTACCCACCTGTTTTCTCTCATCACATACTAAGATTATAAACTCTGTGGGACTCCATATGTGTGTGTGTGCAATGTTAGCACAACGGGTCCAGGATCGGGGTTTCTAGTTCAAAATAATCAGGAATAACATTTAGAGATGAATCTGATCCACATTGGGCAGCTCTTTCACACACTGACTTTCAAGGGCTATTCACCATTTTGCAGAGCTTTGCACATGAGGATGATGTGTGTGACCAAAAGGAAGTTGAGTCACGCTAAGTGCACACATCATCCCAAATGTGTGAGTCAGTGGTCAAGCAATGATTTATATGTCAGTCACCTGACAGTAAATGTTCCAGGCTGTTGGCTCTGCACCACCCAGATCCTCCAGAGCAAACGTTCTCAAGAAACATGCAGCACACCACAAGACAAAGGTAGAAAAGGATCACATTGTGCTGCTGCACTAATTTGGAGTGTGACTTATTCCCCTTCCCACCCGCAAGTGATTAGGCCCTCGTGTCAATCAGTGATAGCCACAGAGTCAACCAGTTATAGCCATGATGACATATGATGGCTATATACAAGTACAGGGCTTGGTTTTCAGAGAATGCATTTTAAGGGGTTATAGCTGGTTGGAACATTTCAATGAAAAACAGAAACAAAATGTAATTTGTTCTTTTTTTCCCATTTTCCAGCCAGCTCTATCCATGTTGCACTACATAGTACAAACAAATGCATGTAAATATTCTCAAAAGTTTGCATTACTCCTTGGTGCAGGGAAATCCGTGTCCTCTATTGCATATGCAACATATCATCAAAAAAGAAAAAGATATCCACCAAAAGAATGAGGGTTGAGGTAACAGACCACCCAGACACCAACTGCTACAGTGGAAAACTTAGCAGACTGGTGGTAACTGGGGCCTGATGTGAGGAGCAATCATGAAACCTGGTTCATTTCTCACTGTCCTTTCCCCTTGATGATGTTCCCTCTCTCTGCAAATTAACATGCATTAACACTCACAGTCCGTTCTGTTAACAGGGTGGGAACAGAAGCAGTAGAAGAGCTGACTAAGTACATGAACCCAGTTCACACATTGCTGAATAATTTCAAGTATGATTTGCAAGATGCAACATTCTGAGAAGAGTTTGAGCAGGACTATAGGGCAACCAAAGAAGAGATTGCCTAAAAACAATCTATCCTAGAAAAAAGAAGAACAGGAGTACTTGTGGCACCTTAGAGACTAACAAATTTATTAGAGCATAAGCTTTCGTGGACTACAGCCCACTTCTTAAGTAGTACTCCTGTTCTTCTTTTTGCGGATACAGACTAACACGGCTGCTACTCTGAAATCTATCCTAGGTTTTCCACTGGAAAATGCTTTGAGAGATCAGTTCTCTTTCTTAGTTGTTGTGCTATGATCACTACCATGATATCTATTATTAAAATGGGCATAAGGTGATCTCTGTATCTGCATCTTCTGCCCCCATTCTGAAGGGAGTGGTGGTGGTGTTTATTTCAGTTAGCTAGTTTAATAGACCATTTTGGTGGGGTTGTTAGAGGAAGGCTAGGTCAAACTAAAAACAAAAAGCCCAATTCATTATATTTTCATTAGAGCTGTGAGAGCTTCAACAGTTCTGCTCTGAAGTTTTCTGCACCTATATGTGTCATGACATTTTATTTTGTGTTCTAAACTAGCTTACATTATGAGAAACATAGTACTGGGGCATCCTCGCCTAGCACCAGCTTTTATTGTTCACTATGGAACTTCTAGAATCCACAGAGGACATCTTTCCTGGACATTGGGTAGAACCCTTTAAACTTTGAAATGTTGCCATGACCACCAGTGCTCATAACTCAGTTTTTTGTCTTGTCTGAAAGATGTCACCTATATCTTCAAATAGTCCTTACCCAGGTGAGGGTATTAGTTCAGTACTAATTCAGAGAGAGGAGCAACATCTATCAAATCACCAGCTTTACTTCCTGCTGCATCCTGCTGAAAACGTGTTGTGAAAACTGACACTATCTCAGCACAAGGGGGTGTGCCTGCATTATAATGCTAGAAAAGACTTGTACTTAGGTAATTAGCCTCCATGGGATAGATTTCTTAGCCAGATTCTTAATATGATTTGCACTGCCCTCCAAGGGAAAAGTGATCTCCTCTCAAGTAATGTTGTCTCTATAGTACATGCAGTAACATGAATTTGTGATCCTTTTAACACATTATTCCCATGCAAAGATAACAATTGAAGTAAGACATTTATAAAACACACTTTCTTTTGTACAGAAGGTAGACGTCATGGGGTAATATGAAGTCAGAAACAATGTGATGTCATTGGCAAACAGAATCTCATCAGTTATTCCAGTAATGTACAAAAACAAATTCCCCAGTAACTTAGTTCTCTTTCTGGGCAATTTAAGCAGATTGTATAGAAGAGATTGTTAGCTTTTAATGATGCATTCTGCTAAGAAGCTACGCTCTTTAGTATTAATTAACACTTGAAGAAAGTTTAACCCTGATAATCATATATTCAAGTAATTTGCTGCAGATTCTGTAAGTATAATACACCAGGTTCTAAAAAAAACCCCACTGAACATGTGTCTAGACGTCTGAGGCAATCCTAACACCAAACTGCATCCTCTTTTTTGTTTCTACTTCTGCTCACTGTAAGCTATTTGGGAAAGGGTCTGTATTTCTCTTTGTGTAATGTGCAATGCATAGCAAATTGTTGGCTCTAAACAAATAATGAATACATACAACATTACAAGTAATAAAACATCTCTCTTTCAACCCTCTTGTTGTGTGCATTATACCAACTTGGACATCCTTAAAAGCAGCTCTACAAGACTTTGGACCGAATTCAAAGATGATATGTAAGGAGGTATAAGTTGCATCTAAGTGAGTGGATGAATATTTTATATGTCTAAGGTCATGTCTACACTTCCGAGCTGTACCGATACAGCTGTGCCACTGTAAGAGCACTTGTGTAGCCATTTTATGCTGTTGATATAATAATACCAGCTCAACGAGCGGCAGCAGCTATATGGGTGGGAGAGCGTCTCCCGCCAACATAGCACTGGGCACACGAGCACTTATGCCAGCAAAACTTATGTCGCTCGGGGGGGGGGGAGGTGTCACACACAAAAACGACAAAAGTTTTGCTGATAGAAGTGCTAGTGTAGACATGGCCTAAGGCTTGGTGTAACATATATACAGAAAGGGCCAGAACGAAGTGTAAAGTACACCAGTTTTCGCTAATTTAAAACTGTAAATTTGTCCCATTGTCTATTAGCAGTATAAATATGAGAGAAATAAGTCATATATTAAAACTTACCACTGGAGTCTTGGAAAAAGTGGAACTAGGTGTTCTGTAGTTCATAGATTCCAAGGCCAGAAGGGACGACTGTGATCATCTAGTCTGATCTCCTGTATAAAACGGGACATAGAACATCCCCAAAATAATTCCTAGAGCAGATCTTCAGAAAAAATATCCAATCTTGAAATTGTCAGTGATGGAGAATCCACCACGCCACTTGGTAAATTGTTCCAATGATTAATTACTCTCACAGTTAAACATTTACACATTATTTCCAGTCTGAATTTGTCTAGCTTCAACTTCCAGCCATTGGATCGTGTTATACCTTTCTCTGCTAGATTGAAGAGCCCATTACTAAATATTTGTTCCACATGTAGATACTTATAGACTCTAATCAATCACCCCTTAACCTTCTCTTAGTTAAGCTAAATATATTGAGTTTCTTGAATCTATCACTATGACATGTTTTCTAATTCTTTAATCATTCTCATGGCTCTTCTTTGAACCCTCTTCAATTTACCAACTTTCTTGAACTGTGGGCACCAGAACTGGACACAGTGTTCCAGCAGCGGTCACACGAGTGTCAAATATAGAAGTAAAAAATAAGCTCTTTACTCCTACTCAAGATTCCCCTGTTTATTCATCCCAGGATCACATAAGCTCTTTTGGCCACAGTGTCACACTGGGATCTCATGTTCAGCTGATTCACAACACTCAAATCATTTTTGTGATATTGATTCCTCAGCCATTTATACTATATGTCCATTTATGAGTCTCTTCCATATAGACACTGGTTCAATTTCTCTTTTGAGAGATTTTCTAGATTTGGATTTGGGATTTTTTTTGTTTGGGGGATTTGGGCTAGGGTTAGAGAAGAGGTAGAGAGGTGTAAGTAAGCACATAGTTTTTTGTGGCTTCTCAAGATGCTGTTTGAGAGTAAGTCCAGCTGGAAAATTATTTAGATTGTAAGCTCTTTGGGTCAGGGACAGGTGTTTTTGTGTGTGTTTGTACAACACCTAGCACAGTGGGGTCCTGGTCCATTACTGGGACTCCTACACATAATTGTAATAATAAGTGCTTAGGTGTAAAAGTAGGTGCAATTTTATTATTTTTAAAATATTTTTGGATCTGTTTCTTAGAATATTTGTGCTTTTGAATGTGCCCATTAAGCATGACAGAAAGTTCTCAGACCATCGTCTTTCCAGCACTGTGGGAGATAGTTTCAATTGATTGCATGTCATCTCACAGACAAGAGGTCATATACATGTGGTGCGAGATTTTGATTTGTGTTCCTTTCAGTGATCTGGCAACTGCACACTTATCCATGTATAGGAGTTTCTTGTCATTTCCCCCCTGACTTTCCCAGGGCTAATTCCCATTTTTCTAGCTAGTTCAAGACCAGGTTGGCTACACCTTTTCCTGTGTGAGGAAGTATTCCTTTTTTGTTACAACTCCTAAGGTCTGTTGTATTGTGTGTCAGCCTCATTTGCAACTTTGCATGCTGGCGTACAGGCGATGCGGCTGAGTAGTATGCACTGAAAGATGGGTACTCTTTTGTTGACCCCATCAATTTTCAGTACTCAGCCCCACTCTTCTTAATCAAAATCACTTCAAAGACCCAAAACAGATTGATTCACATGTGAACACTACCCAAACTGTCTTCCAAGGGGGGAAATACTTGTCTTATGTTCCTTTGAACCCACTGTTGCCCGTTTACTTGTATTTACTTTGCATGGCCTATGGCTGAACCATGGAAATTAGAAAACAAACTCCTATTCAGCAAGTCATGTCAAAGGTGACCGCTATGCCAGAAAGTTGACTGTGGGACAAACATTCCCTCTGATCAGGAGGCCTCTTCTGCAGTGTTGCTGTCTCCACAGTTACATACCTGTCTGCAGAAGCCTTTAGTCTATCTTGTCTATGTGGGAAGTCCTAGACGATGCCATCAATCTGAGAGATGAGAGGGATGCTCCCTTGACACTTCAACAATGGTTGGGGTGCGAAAGAAAGAAAATTAGCTCCCCTCTGAACAAAGTTCTTTTGAACTGCACTATGTTCACAAAGAGCATCAGAGCCGTCGTCATGTTCACATACAGGTTTTGTCCTGCAAAAAGGAGGGATGAAGTGAGTGGGGAACTTCGTGAATGTACTGAGGAGGTTTGTCAAGGATACACGGACGTGCACTGTGAATATATTTATAAAAATGAAATAAAAATGCAGGATCCAGCAGCGCTGGGTGGGGCTGAAGGCAAAAGTGTCCAATGAATACAGTGGGATTGTGTTTAAAAATCTATGTATCTAAAAACTACGGCCAACATTTTCAAATATAGGTCCCTGAAGTGGGGCACCTAACTCCATAATTAAGCCACTAAATAAAAATCACCTGATTTTCAGAGGTGCTGAGTATCTAGTAGCCTCTACCTACAGTCATCGGTCCTGATTCTGCAAGTGCCCTCTATTCCTCTTGACTGAAGTGAAGGACTGAGTCTAAGCAGCTTTAGTCTTGATCAGATTGTTCCCTGAGACCCTATTTTCATTCAGTGTTTAACTTTGCAGAGTGCCTAATTGGTCTTGGGCTGCTGATGCTAGAATTTTTAGCGTAATGACTCAGCATTGACCCCAATTCCTGGAATCTGACATTGTAAAATTAAACAAATCTTTATACAATATCATGCAACTCTTAGGAACACTCTTCCAAAGGCTTCATTCAGAGAAGTCAAGTCATGTCTGAGGATTTCTGCTGAGCACAAGTGAAGATAACAGCATCTGTTGATAGCAGAAGAGGATTTCCTAGGATTCTGTTACTTTTAGCATAGTCTCAGGAGCAGCTTTGAGAGCCCTGTCAAAATCCTGATGAGCTCTCCAGTACTACAGAGACAAGGTGGATGAGGTAATATCTTTTATTGGACCAATTTCTGCTAGTGAGGGACAAGCTTTCGAGACACACAGAGCTCTTCTTCAGGTCTGGGAAAGGTACTCCCGGCATCACCGCTATGTGCAAGGTAGAACAGATTGTTTAGCATAAGTAGTTAGCACATATTGTAAGGGACCATTCAAGGTAGAGTGTCCCATTAATATCTCTGCAGTCATAGGACAAAAAAAGAGGGATAGAGGGTTACAGATTGTTGTAATAAGCCATAAAACCAGTGTCTCTGTTCAGTCTGTGATTTTTGCTGTCTGGCAGAGTTATGAATTTAAGCTCCCAGGTTTGTCTTTTGAAAGTGTTGTGCAGTTTTCCTTTGAAGGTGAGGACTGATTGGTCAGATATAGAGTGATCGCTTTGTGAAAAGTGTTCACCCACAGGCAATAGGGTGTTTTTGTCTTTTATCATTTTCCTGCGTGAATTCATTTGAGGGTGCAGTGATTGCCTGTTTTCACCCACATAGTTGTTATTGGGGCATTTAGTGCACTGGCTGAGGTACACCACATGTTGTGATAGGCAGATGTGAAGATCCATAGATCCTGAAAGATACGTTAGCAAGAGGAAAACCAAGGACAGGGTAGGCCTGCTACTCAATAAGGGCGGGAAAACAATAACAGAAAATGTGGAAATGGCAGAAGTGTTAAATGACATTTTTGTTCCAGTTTTTACCTAAAAGGTAAACACATAGTGAACACCAGTGAAAATGAGGTAGGATCAGAGGCTAAAATAGGGAAAGAACAAGTTAAAAATTACTTAGACAAGTTAGATGTCTTCAAGGCACCAGGACCTGATGAAATACATCCTAGAATACTCAAGGAGATGACTGAGGAGGTATCTGCACCATTAGCGATTATATTCAAAAAGTCATGGAAGACGGGAGAGGATCCAGAGGACTGGAAAAGAGAAAATATAGTGCCCATCTATAAAAACTGAAATAAGGACTAACTGGGGAATTACAGACCACTCAGCTTAACTTCAGTATCCAGAAAGAAAATGGAGGAAATATTTGAGCAATCGATTTGCAAACACCTAGAAGATAATAAGGTGATAAGTAACAGTCAGCATGGATTTGTCACGAACAAATTGTGTCAAAGCAAACTAATAGCTTTCTTTGACATGGTAACAAGCCTTGTGGATGGGGGGGGGAAGTGGTAGATGTGGTATATCTTGACTTTAGAAAGGCTTTTTATAGTGTCTTGCATGACCTTCTCATAAACAAACTAGGGATATACAACCTAGATGGAGCTACTATAAGGTGGGTGCATAACTGATTGGAAAACAGTTCCCAGAGTGGTTCACAGTCAAGCTGGAATGGCATATTGATTGGGGTCCCACAGGAATCAGTTCTGGGTCCAGTTATGTTCAATATCTTCATCAATGATTTACATAATGGCGTAGAGAGTACACTTATAACGTTTCCGGATGATACCAAGCTGGGAGGGGATGAAAGTGCTTTGGAGGATAGGATTAAAATTCAAAATAATCTGCACAAACTGGAGAAATG